ATGTTAGCTATTGTTCTTTTTACTGTTTTTGGCTCCTTGTTCAAATCCAGGAAGTTTTTGGAGAAATTCCATAGTCACAGGGAACCACCTCCAAACCTTCGTCCTTAGAAATACTCATACCTCTGTTGAGGCCTTGCTGTTTTACCAAATAATTTACAGTGGTCTGCTACCCACTGATCCCACAGACACAACTGTTTGTTTTCCCATTTCTTATAGCCAAATATGGCAAAACCCTTCCAGCTAAAGCCAGGAAGAGATGGTGAAGAAGGCCAGACCAAAACACACTGAACACCCTTTGTCCCTTTCCCAAGGATTTCTGGCAACTTAAGGCCTGAGTTAATATTAGTTAAGCTGAGGATATTCTGAGCGATATGAGGATATGCCAGGCTTCGCACTGAGTTGAAGTTTTTGTCTCAGAAGGGTATAGGTACATTCTGCACTGTGACAGGAGGGTGAGCTGTTAGTACTCTCCCAAGATTAGCCCTCAGTCAAAAGATGCTGGGGAGTTATTGTAAAAGCCTTTTTGATCTGCATTGATTCCAGGCAGGAGACACCAGTGGGTGGTAGCAATCCTCTGAGTCAAGAGGCAGACAGCAAGTCTCTGTATGACCGCAGAAGTGAAATACAGCAACTAATACCACTAACAATAACTAATAAGTACCTCCAGGAAAATTACTCCAAAGGTGACAAAACTACGTGGCAGGGCTTATGCCGCACGGCCAGCACGTGGTCCGTTCCGTCAAGCCCTGGAACAGCTGTCCCAGATGCAGACACAGCAGTTAACCCGAAGGCGACCTCCAGCTCTTGTGCACCCGCGATTCTGACGATGGGCCATGCTGTCCGTCCTTACCATCGTAGGATGAATCCCTCTGTCATTTCATGTGTATCTAGTGCCTTGAAGATTCTTTGTCTAGGGACTGGCCAGGATGAAATGTGATGAATTTTCTCTTTCAGTGCTTTTCCGACGGAGGCTTTGCTCTTTACTTGCTATGTTAACAAAATTTTGAGAAGCCAGTGGAGCAGCAAGCTGTGACCTGTGGAAACTTCTGGATCTACTCTGAGAAGGCAAATCAAAATACATAATCACTGGCATCTACAACTGTGCAGGGAACATGTAAAACTGTACATGACGGCTCCGGGTACCCTAGAAGCCGTGGGAGCGACTTCCCTGTTGGTGAATTTCAGAGGCTGAGTGCGTGGAACTCAGCCCTCCTCCTGCTTGCTTGCTTGCTTGCAATCTATCTGCAGAGGCGCCCACCTGTAACCGTTCACTGGCGGCCTGCCGATTGCCTCCTCTCTCTGATGGAGTGGGTAAGCTTAATTACAGGATGCAGTATTAGAAAAGCTTCCATTGGCCCAGAGCCAAGCCTTGCTCTCCGAAGAGCTTGTGCCTTTTGGCCTTTAGCTGTGTTATTTCTGAGTCTAGTTCTTGACTGGTTATGAACTTGGACAGAAAAAAAAAAAAAAGAGGGAATATTATTAAATATTATTGACCCTTTAAAGCCCCAACCTTTGTTTAGGAAGCAGCTCCAATGTGGCAGGCTTTCTGATCACGTGATCTCATTTGTTTCTCATGAGGCCTGTCCATGTGGCATTGCTGTCCCAGTTTCACAGAACCGAGGTCAGAGACTTTTGGGGAGCATCAACATGGGGCAGGACTGGGCTGTAAGCCCACAGCCTTCTGATTCCAGAGTTCAGCCTCTGCAGTGGTTTTCAGACAATGGTATGGTTAGCATTTTTTTTCTACAGATGAACTGTTCCAAATCCAAATTGCAAAGCAGGAAAAAGATGAGATGCCCTGGTTGTTAGATGAGTGGGACCTCAGAGTCCCCCCCTCCCTTTTAAAGATTTATTTATTTATTTGAGAGGCACAGTTACAGCCAGAGGGAGAGACAGAGAGCTCTTCCATCTGCTGGTTCACTCCACAGTTGGTTGCAAGGGCCAGAGCTGGGCCAATCCAAAGCCAGGAGCCAGGTGCTTCTTCTGGGTCTCCTACTTGGGTGCAGGGTCCCAAGGACTTGGGTCATCTTCTACTGCTTTTCCAGGCCATAGCAGAGAGCTGGATCAGAAGAGAAGCAACCGGGACATAAACCAGTGCCCATATGGGATGCTGGCACTGCAGGTGGAGGCTTAGCCCCCTACACCACAGCGCCAGCCCCTCTTGGATATCTTCTGATCTCCCTCCTCCACTCTTCCTTCTCTGTGGTAACCCTTACATGTGTCGTCGTGGCTTTTCCTAGTACAGCCTGCAAGCCGCTGTCTCTCTAGGTGTCTAGGGGACATTTTCAGCAAGATTGCTCAAGCAGGGTGGCTGCCAAGAACTGGGGTACAGTTCTCAGTTTTCAGTCTCAAGGACAGCCACAAGTGGCTGCTCATTGAGAAGCAGTCATTGCTGAGAACCAAATCCCTGCCCTTGGCCTTGGAAAAGGTGATATGTGATGACAGCTCAGCCATCTTCCCAAACACAGGAAATGCTGAGGGTTAATGGCGAAGGGCAGGGTTTGTAAGGATGGACAGAGCCCTGCGAAGCCGCCTCCTCCCTGCTGCAGGACAGCCACACGTGCTTGGGACACGTCTCTGAGGGAAGGGAACAAAGAAAGGAGCACAAAGGGTCACACATGCAATTCTTTCCTTTTGTGCAAGTGAAAGGTCTAATTTACTCATCTGGCAAACCCCACTGACTGTGCAAAGATTTGGCCACATGGAAAGTTCTCCTGCTGGTGCCTTGGCTGCAGAGAGTGTTTCTAAGTCTGAGGTCGGTCACGGGGATGCCGTCGGGGGCTCCAGCGCGCCTTCATGGGGACAGAGCTCACTCCACTCACGAGGTGTTTCTGTGAATGTTTTCTCCCTACTTTTCCTTTCAGAGAAGAAACAAAGTCTTTGTTTAATAGCTAAGAAATATCACTTGCTGGAAACGTCTAATAATAATTTTAATTAATTTTTCAGCTCTCATCTTAGACAGATTTCATATTTTTGCCTTCAATTAAGCACAGGCTGCTTCCGTTCCAGAACCCCCTAATTATTTTTAATGGATTCCACGTACAGTGGCTCCGGATGTCGCTTTTATTTATGGACTAAGTCACTCGCTGATGAATGGTGGATTTGCACATCCTTGTGTGTGCTTGGCCTGAAAATAGACCAAGGGCTCAGCTATCCCATTTGGGAATAAGGAGAAAAAACTCCAAGGGTTTGTGGAAAACTCTAGAAGGGCTGATCTGCAGAGGCCATTGGTCCAGTTACTGTGAATGAGTAATGAATTGCCCTATCGCACAGCGGCTTCAGATCTGCATTCTATATTGATAGTCAGATTTAGAAATAGTTTGGCAATCTCACTTTGATGCGATTGCAACCCCACTGTCTCTGGGGCCCTCGTCATGTGAGGGTGCTGTTGGGCTGGACATCCAAGGTGGCTCACACAAATGGCTGGCTGCTGACACTGGCGGAGGCCCACAGACATGGGACCTCTCCAGTCCCCGAGCAGCCAAACTTCTCACAGGTGGCTAGCACAGGGTTTCCTAAAATGAGCATCCTAACCAGGTGGAAGCCCACTGCTTCTTCAGACCTAGCCTCAGGAGCTACGTTGTATCACTCGGACCAGCTTCTGTTGGTTACAACTGAGCCCCTAAGATCACTGCAGATACCAGGGGAAAGAGGGAGTTGATCTATCTTGATGGGAAAGAGTGTAAAGATTTCGCGTGCTATGCACATTCTCCCGAATGTCTGAGTCCAAAGAGATTGGGACTACTTTTCCCTTTCACGGATTTTCCAGCTCGTTAATACTGAATTTCCCCCAAGTTTGTGCAGTACTAAGGCAAGAAGCCTTATACAGGTTTCCTTTTTTTTTTTACCTGTAAATTGCCAGTTCAAAGAGGAGAGAAACTGTATCTGCTCCTCATTTATGGCTCTGACAAATGTGTATTATGTGCTTGGTACTGTGCTGAGACCGTGAATGGGTCCCTGTCCCCCAGGCACTCATGATGACACACAGTGAGCGAGCGAGTGAGAGAGAACCATGTGTTTTCAGTAATTCTAGGACCACGTGTAGGCAACTTGCAATAACAGTGAATGGTGGTGACAACAATGGCATGAGACTTGGAAGGCGGCAGGTGTTTCTAAGATTGCAGGAAGATGGAAGGAGTTTAGAGAACCTCAGAGGGGCCAGTCATTGTGGGATTTCAGAGCTGGACCTCGGAGACACCTGGCTCAGAAACAGGTACTTGTGGAGGGAGAAAAATGTAAGCGAGGTTCATTCTGGAATTTGTAATGTTTTGCATTCTGCCCATAGCACTACCCTAATCACTACCAAGAAGCCTAGAGCTTCTTGCAGCCTTAAGTGGAGGCTATAGCACTACTCAGCATTAATAGAAACTATTTGACAAGAAAAGCAAGACCCATAGTCTAATGAAATGCTAAACCATTTCAAATGTACACAACTTTGACTTCTCCAGGTCTGGTTCCTTTCTGCATTGTTAGTAACCTCAAACAAGTTCATGTGAGTGGGGAAATGGCCAAAGCCAAGGCTGAATGAGCTGCTGGGTGGAAACGTCTCCTCTCATTGACTCACCCATGCATTTAGTGGTCATGGGTGCCTACTCTGTGTCAGGGACTTGCTAAAGGAGGAATTGGCCACACAAGATACTACGTCAGACTTGTTTGAGGAACACGGTTCTGTCTTGTTCAAAGGTGCTCAACTTGTATAAAGAGAATTAGCATTCAGTTCAGCATCCAATAGGAAGATTCATTTCTGGAAGGGACATTGATGTAGCTGAAATAGTGTCAAAAGCTGTCAACCTCATACATGGTGAGAATTATACCACCATAGCCAAGCAGTGAGTCCCAGAAAGCCGGTGTCAGTGTGGGGACCCCTGAGACTTCCCAGTCCCATGGGAGTCCATGTGAATTCCCTGTTTGTGCAGCACATAGCCGGGCTGGGCTTTTGACTTTGCACTGAGTGCTGAGATTGGAAGGCTCATGGTGCACCCTTCCTAACGATCTCCCAGGAGTCACAGAGGAGCATGGACCGGCCGTGGGTGGAACCCTGCTGAAGACAGCATCCTGAACACCAAATGTCACTGGGATTGTCCGGAAGAAGCAGACCTTCGTGTCATGTTTTCTGAGTGTTAAACATCTCAACGAGCAGAGAAATCCTCAACGTTACACTCCGCTTTGTTCTTCTGATAAAAATTCTATGAGCCCCTCCTTTTGTCAGATGGATGAGGGTCCTTCAAAAATGTCATAGGATATGGGGTTCAAGGAAAAATTTCTCTTGGCTAAACGGTTTGAAATCCATACATAGTTTTTTCATCATGCACATTTTCCATGAGCATTTTGAAGGTTCCTCATTTACATAGAGTTCAAAATTTGTTGTGCCAAAGTAAATTATCTAGTTCAATTTTCCACAAACCTGCTGAAGCGCCCTTGTACATCTTAATCTATTTTCAAATACGTGTTTTATGTTGTTATCTGGGGCTCTCCTTTTGTTTACAAAATATGTATTCAAATTCCTTTCAGAAGTGTGTTTACAAACAAGTAAAAGAGTCTCCCTCTCTTAAAAAAATTCTTATTTATTTGAAAGGCAGAGAGTCAAAGCGAGGAGGGAGATCTTCCATCCACTGGTTCATTCTCCAAATGACTGCAACAGCCAGGTTTGGGCCAGGCCAAAACCAGGAGCCTAAAACTCCAACATGTGATGTCAGGCTTGGGCCATCACCTGCTGCTTTCCCAGGCTTGTTAGCAGGAATGCCGGATTGAGAGCAGAGCAACTGGGACTCTAACTGGCATTCTGATGGAGAGTGCCGGCGTCACAGGCCGCAGCTTAACCCCACTGCACCACGACACCGGCCCAAGAGCCTCCTTTTCATGGGGATCTGACACCGTCTCTGCAAAGGTGAGGGGTGGGTAGGGGAAGACAAGAATGTACTCATTGCTAAGGTGTGATTAGGACTTATCCACTCCAGCTGATGTTGAAATGGTGTCCTTGGTAAGAGACAGGAAGGGGTGGGACCAGGTGGGAGCTTGAAGGGGTGATTGGTGGGTTCATGGGTTAGCACGAGAGTGGGTTTGCTATAAAAGCCAGTTTGGAGCCGGCGCGCAGCTCACTAGGCTAATCCTCTGCCTTGTGGCACCGGCACACTGGGTTCTAGTTCTGGTCGGGGCGCCAGATTCTGTCCTGGTTGCCCCTCTTCCAGGCCAGCTCTCTGCTGTGGCCAGGGAGTGCAGTGGAGGATGGCCCAAGTACTTGGGCCCTGCACCCCATGGGAGAGACCAGGATAAGTACCTGGCTCCTGTCATCGGATCAGCGCGGTGCGGCAGCCATTGGAGGGTGAACCAACGGCAAAAAGGAAGACCTTTCTCTCTATCTCTCTCTCACTGTCCACTCTGCCTGTCAAAAAAAATAAATAAAATATATATATATAAAGCCAGTTTGGCTGCGTCTCTCGCATTGCTCCTTGGTTCTCGCTGCCTGATGCTCTGTGCCACCTTAAGGACCCTGCCAGCAGCAAGCCCATCGTCGCCACCACAACTTGAGCTCTTGACTTTAGTCCAGAACTGTGAGTTAAAGTATTTTTTTTAATTATGCCTCACCCAGCCCATGGAACTGTGTTGTTAGGAAAAGAGAGCGAGGATCCTCCCGCGTGAGGGAGAACACGTGAAGCTGAGGCATGAGCGTGTCAAACTGCTGGTGGTCAGCGTCTTCGTTTCTTCCCATAGGCAGTGCTCGTGTGTTTTTTTTTTTTTAACTTTTATTTAATGAATATAAATTTCCAAAATACAGAATATTGATTACAATGACTTCCCCCCATAACGTCCCTCCAACCCGCAACCCTCCCCTTATCCACTCCCTCTCCCCTTCCATTCACATGAGGATTCATTTTCGATTCTCTTTATATACAGAAGATCAGTTTAGCATACATTAAGTAAAGATTTCAACAGTTTGCTCCCACACAGAAACATAAAGTGAAAAATACTGTTTGAGTACTAGTTATAGCATTAAATCTCAATGTACAACACACTAAGGACAGAGATCCTACATGAGGAGTAAGTGCACAGTGACTCCTGTTGTTGACTTAACAATTTGACACTCTTGTTTATGGCATCAGTAATCACCCTAGGCTCTTGTCATGAGTTGCCAAGGCTATGGAAGCCCCTTGGGTTCACTGACTCTGATCATTTTTAGACAAGGCCATGGTCAAAGTGGAGGTTCTCTCCTCCCTTCAGAGAAAGGTACCTCCTTCTTTGATGACCCATTCTTTCCACTGGGATCTCACTCACAGAGATCTTTCATTTAGGTTTTTTTTTTCCCCCAGAGTGTCTTGGCTTTCCATGCCTGAAATACTCTCATGGGCATTTCAGCTGGATCCGCATGCCTTAAGGGCTGATTATGAGGCCAGAGTGCTGTTTAGGACATCTGCCATTCTATGGGTCTGCTGTGTATCTCACTTCCCATGTTGGACCATTCTCTCCCTTTTTTATTCTATCAGCTAGTATTTGCAGACACTATTCTTGTTTATGTGATCCCTTTGGTTCTTAGTCCTATCATTACGATCAATTATGAACAGAAATTGATCACTGGGACTAGTGAGATGGCATTGGTACATGCCACCTCGATGGGATTGAATTCGAATCCCCTGGTATGTTTCTAACTCTACTGTTTGAGGTAAGTCAGCTTGAGCATGTCCCGAATTGCACATCTCTTCCCTCTCTTGTTCCCACTCTTATATTTAACAGCAATCACTTTTCAGTTGTTTCAGCACTTAAGAAGAATTGTGTATTGATTACAGTATTCAACCAAAAGTATTAAGTAGAACAAACAAAAAAATACTAAGAGGGATAACATATCAAGTTGCTCATCAACAGTCAGGGTGAGGGCTGATGAAATTGCCATTTCTCATAGTGTTCATTTCACTTTAACAGGTTTCCTTTTTGGTGCTCAGTTAGTTGTCACCTATCAAGGAGAACAAGTGGTATTTGTCCCTTTGGGATTGGCTTATTTCACTCAACATAATGTTTTCCAAATTCCTAACAGGGATCACTTTTCAGTTAAAATTTAAACACCTAAGAATAATTGTGTGTTAATTACAGAGTTCAACCAATGGTACTAGAACAAAAAAAAATACTAAAATGGATAAAGTATTACAAAAGCCACGTTTGAGAATTTCCAAGTCGGATTCATCGGGTCACATGGTCACCTGCTGGCCTGCAGGGGGACTGTGGGGCTGGAGCTGATGAGGAGGATGAGGAGTATTAGCACATGCTGGTTATTTCTTGCAGCCTCCAAGAAAGGGATCACTTAAGGGGCACGTTTAGATGCAAAGTGGCTGCCTGAATACAGAAATGGGAGAAAACGGAGTTCTGCTAATACGGTCTTCCTGCTTGTAACCTATAATCTAAATTACTCTAAAGGCTGTATTTTGGAGATTTTCAAGCTTAGAAATACAAGCTGAGTACAAAATTGGTGCAAACCTTTCCCCCTGAAAAAGGTGTAGCAAGAGGTAAGACTGATGGGATTGAGACGAAAGGAAGTCGGATTCCCTGTGCCTCCCCTTCGTGTCTCACTTAGCTGTAGCTGTGCAGGCTGGGATGGCAGGCGGCACCTCCCCTGTTCTGCTAGGCTCCCTCTTCCACTGTGTGGTGGTTGTTCTCAGTTTCCTTCAGGTGAAGGCCATCAAACTTGAGGCTTGGGGCCGGCGCTGTGGCTCAGTGGGTTAATCCTCCGCCTACAGTGCTGGCGTCCCATATTGGTGCTGGTTTGAGTCTCGGCTGCTCTTCTTCCCATCCAGCTCTCTGCTACAGCCTAGGAAAGCAGTGGAGGATGGCCCAAGTCCTTGGGCCCCTGCACCCACTTGGGAGACCTGGAAGAGGCTCCTGGCTTCGGATCGGTGCAGCTCCGGCCATTGTGGCCATTTGGGGAGTAAACCAGCAGATGGAAGACCTCTCTGTCTCTCCCTCTCACTGTCTGTAACTCTGCTTCTCAAATAAATAAAATCTTAAAAAAAAAAAAAAACACTTGAGGCTTGTGGGTGGGAAGGTCATAGCCATAGCTACACAGGCCCAAGTCAGACAAGATGGCCAGCTGTGTCCATGTCTGGAACCCACTAGAGGTGAATGCCAGATGTGACAGACAGAAGTCGAAACCTTCTAAGGCCTCAGGTGCTCCTGAGGCTGTAGAATTTGTACCTGCAGGAAGTGAACTGCTGAAATCCAGCAGTCTCTGGGTGAGCACCTTTCTAATGTCTGCCCCAGACGTGGCCGTGAGGACAGGGACCAGGGAAGCTCCAGCAGAGCAGGTGCAGGCCTGGTGGAAAATCCATGGCGTCCTCGGCTCGTGGGAGTAGAATGTGCCATGCCTGAGCCGCCAGCGAGCACCAGCCAAGACCCTGGCTTTTCTGAAAATGAGTTTTTATTGGGTTTCTTGTCATCTTTGAGACTGCAATTGGCTTTCCCCTATTGTGGGGCTGGGGGTGTTTTGTGGAAGTCTGAGGATAGATTTGATAGACAAGCTGTTTCCTTGTCTATCAAATGGGAACAACAGGAGGAATATGGATGTTGGGAAGCCAAAGAGGCGGACTGTGCTGGAGCGGGGTCAGCCGCACGGTCTTCCTCTTTGCTGCCAGAGCTGTTGCCTTGTCTGAAAGTGACTCGGCAAGGGGACTCGATCCTCCTGGGAGGGGTAAACCCTGAATTCTGGGTGACGCATGGCTGGGCTCTTCCCTCTGCCACAGGGTGGCTTTGCCCATGGACCCGGATGTGACGAAGACTGAGAAGGGGTGGGTTTCTAGAGACCGTGATGAGAGACAGACTGAGGATGACTCACTGTCTGTGGCTGCCCTAGGCTGTTCTGGATGTCGCTTTTGGAACGGACTCAGTCTACCCAGGGCTCTGGGTGCTTTCCTGAGGTCAGTGGGAGGCAGACAGAGCTTCTTCTGTACTACTTGTGATGGAAAATAATTTTCCTGGTGTTTTTTTAGATCAGTAGAATTGGGATTTTCTGTTACCTGCATTCCTTTTTGTTAAAGATGTATGTATTATTTGAAAGTTACAGTGAAGGAGAGGCAGGGAGGGGGAGGGAGAGGGAGGGAGGGAGGGAGGGAGGGAGAGGGAGAGAGAGAGATCTTCCATCCACTGGTTTACCCCCTAAATGGCGGTGACAGCAAGGGCTGGGCCAGACTGAAGCCAGGAGCTTCATGGAGGCCTCCCATCTGGATGCAGGGTACCAAAGACTTGGGTCACCTGCTGCTGCCTTCCCTGGCACATTAGCAGGGAGCCAGATCGGAACTGGAGCAGTGGAGACTCAGAACTGGATGCCAGGGTCACAGGTGGTGGCTTTCCCTGCTGCGCCACAGTGCCGGCTCCTGTTATCTGCATTCTAAATCTCATGGAGGATAGAGACGAAAAGTAACAAGTTCTAATGGCAAGTATTTTCAGAACTCGCATCTCGGGGCTGACGAAGAAAGAACTGACAGAACAGCCCTGTGGATAAATTTCTGCTTGCTTGCTTACAAATTGGAAGACTGGTGTTGTCTTTCAGAAATGATCACTCAGATTGCAGGAGGATTCCACTGTCTTTAGAATCCCAGAATGCTCTTTGCTGAAATAAACAATAGGTAGGCTGATGAGGTTTTCTGAGAGGGGAGTGGAGCCATGGTTTTCTTTCAGCTCTGTTCAAGCAAAGATAGGCAGGTTGTGGGTTTTTCCTCCCGTGATAGGAGGCAGGTCGCGAGTTTTTTCTCCTGCATAGTCAGGAAGCGGCTTGCACCCTTCCTGGAGCTGAGCAGCATAATAATCTCAATGAACTTCTAACATACAGTTTCTCTCGACTGCAAAATTCCAGGCAGAATGTCTGGGTTGGATCTTGTGCCATCATGAGCAGTAGGTTACCAGGAAAACCAACAGCTTCTTCTACCAGCCCCTGTACTGATTGCCCGGCTGCTTCCCATAAGGACAGGTGACATTGAAAATCCAAAGCTGGAGATACCATAGTCTCAGCAGTGAACTATAACCGCGGGCCGCAGCATGGATGCATCTGAGTAATGAGAAGGAAGCCAGAAACAAGAGCGGCCCTGGTGGGATACTGCAAGTTCAGAAACGGGCAACGCTGCTCTCAGGTCAAGGTCAGCAGTGTGGCTGGCTTGAGGCAGGGGTCTACGGACTGGGAGGTTCCTAAAGACCTTGTGATTTGTGATCCAGTGTTGGTTACATGGGTTTGTGTGTTTTGTGAGAAGTCAAGATTGGGCAGGGTTTTATAAGATGTTTAATTCAATAAAAGGTTTGCCAAGAAATGACTACAACTGACCCTTAGGAATCTACCAAAAGCTACCTGTCTAAGACAAGGTGACAGCAAGGGAGATGTAAGGTCTCTTGCTTGGCATCCTTTTCCCCTTTGTATTCGTTGTAATCCCCTAGAGCTGCTCAGAAGGCTATTTTGGTTAAGGCTGTGGTTACAGCGACAGAACTGGAATTCCAATTAGCTTCCTGCCCAAGAGGAAATGACGGAGTCGTAAGAGGGAAGGGAATGGTGAGAAAGCAAGTCTGGGGGAGACAGCCGTGCAGACCGGTCTGGCCATGGCTTGCGCCAGGTTTGCAGCGTGTGGACCCTCTCTTGCCTCTGCCGCTC